TAAGGTTAGTCAATGCAAATATAATTACGAACTGTTTAACCCGCTCAGAGTTGTTTGCAAGAACCTAAATGACGTCTGTCACTTATTCTAATTGTCGGACTCTTTAAAGTCCATTAAAGCAACATTGCTTAATACGCGCGATTTACCCATCGTACTTAAACTAACTGTTAACCTTAATAAATCATTATGATTCGAAAATTAATTGTTGTTAACTATTATCGGTTACCAAGCTTATGCATGTTTGCGATGGCTTAGGGGTTCATTCTTAATTTGGCCTTGTACTGGTTGTGGGTGTGGCTCTTTGCTAGTTGTGTGCATGATTTTTTTTTCTTTCCTTCTTGTTTGTTTTATTGCGCTTATACTAGGTTTTAATATTAATTAATGTAATATTTACTTTAAGAGTCATTTGAACTCAACTGTTAATTTGGCTTAGTTGAGTTTCATGTATAAGTAAATAAAGTAAATAAATGAGTAAATGAATAAATAAATAAATATTCTTCTTTGGACTAGTGTAGGAACAAGTTATATATAAACGTTTATTACCAACGTTCACACAAACGACAATAAATTCGAAGCCGAGAGTAGTTGGGAATTCAAACAAATATGGCAATTAAAACAATACCACCAGTGTTATCTGATTGATCTTTTCTTAAGCCAAGTTTCAGTAAAAGCGAAAAAGAAAAACTCATTGCTCACTGGATTTAAGTAGGTAGACCGAATCATGAATTGTAACCTTAAAAATTTTGGTAAATGAGAGTTTCTGGGACTGAGAAAACACGCAGTTCCTTGCAGGTGGGTGGACTATGCAATTAGTGTTGCGAAGCCTATTTCGCGAGCAAATTCCTTTATTAAGGATTCTAGTGGACCCAAAAATTAATTTTTTCAAAGTATTCGTATTTTCCTTTGGAACTAAAATCTTAAAGAAGAGATAGTTAGAGATGGAGACAATTTAAAAATGCTGATTTAGATTAATAGACATGGCTTTCACAACCCCATAACTTTTTATCCTACCACTTGAGGTGTCTGATACCAGTCTTGACACAGATATGGCTTTTCATGGCGGAACTGCTGTGAAGAGGAAAACATCCAGGTTAGAAAGATTAATATACGAAGCATTAAAAATCAAGCTTGAGAATTTTGAGATGGGGAAAAATAGAAGGAGGGACTCTGCTTGATTTTGCAACTTGGATGCTTGCAGCTACACGAGCAGGGAAGAGGGTACGATTTAGTATTTTTGTTTATATTTATCTGACGCTTGGGTTGAATACGACTATTACAATAAAACGAGGAGGGCTGCTGGAATTAGTTATCTTATCAGCTAAGTTTGTGATAAGATCGATATTGATGTTATATGAAGGCAAGCCTTAAGCACTTCGAAGTTGACGATGACAGGTCCGTAAGTACCATCGTTGCGGAAGTGACGGATCGCACGCTACACTACAAGCGGGCCTTTTATACGTTGGAGAAGAAGATGAGTGTTTTAAGTAGCAACAATCATCAAACATCGTGTTAAATTTCTCCGCACAATGCCACGAGTTGTTTACTTATTTCAGAAAAACCATTCTTTGTCTACATAAAAAGTTTATAGAAGTGTATGTTCTGCTTTCTACACTTCACACTCCTTTTGATGAATACAAGTCTGCAGTACGACCAATTATATCTACACATTTGGCATGACAGCCAGGTTCACGAATCCAACAACTAATGAAGAGATCAGAGTCAGGATCTGTTTTGTTTCAACACTGTGGAAATAAACAATCCATGTTGAAAGGTAACAGACGAGATAGAACTTGTAAAGAGAAAAAAACAAAAAATTCTATCAAGTATTAACAATGTTGTCTTTGCACGATTACAAACGCAGTAAACAAAGAGAAAGCAGTAAGCGACACAAACCAACGATGATGTTTGAAAAGCAACATTGCGCAAAGAGCACGAAAGACACTCTTTGACGAGAGCGACATGAGTCAATATATATAACAATTTCATAATTTTTGAGGATTTAAAACCGTTTAAAACAATAAAATAAAAAAGAATTACAAGAAATACAAAAAAATTACAAAGTTTCCAAGTAATAAAACATGAACACAGCGCGCGCGCAGAGTTGCCAGCTTTGACTTGCTTTACAAATGTGTATGCCGAAATTAAAAGATAATCGCATACTACCTTGCATGAAAAAATGCAAACCTTTCTCTTCTCCGCCTAGCGTTATTCTAAAATGTGGCCATAAAATATTGTTAAATACGGAACGTATGTATATTCTACTTAGATCATTTCTTTTTTTAAGCGTACTCTTAAGGATTCGTCGTAAAATCTGTTGAGATAACTTCCATAGATAAAAGAAAAATCTTAAAAATGAGTATGATTTTGTTTTCCCCTCTTTGCGTTTTAGATGTCTTGCTCTATGATAACTGTTTTGCTGCTGTGTAAAATATTTTAGTTTCTTGATAACTGTACTAAATTTGCCAAATGTTTGCAAGGGGGAGAAATACATAAATTAAACGGATTCTGATCTGCGTTAATTGCAAAGTTTACTTAGCCATTTGTTTAAGTTGAAGCATTGATTCCAAGCTCAAGAAAAACCTATGTGTTAAAGATTTTATCACCTTAACAACTTACTAGAAATCGAAGTCCACCAGACCGTTTCACTTACACTTAAAAACAAAAATATAGGGAAACAACATGGATATGTAAATACCGCTTGTGGCTTTTACAATTATTCACAGAGATGCTGCTAATACGAGAGAATTGTAACGGGTAATGAAAAATGGATCTAACACAAAAAAGGGCTATGCAATAGATTATGGTCAACACGGCAAGCTATCTCAAACAATGCCATAACCAGATATTCACGAAAAGAAGATTTTGCTGTAAGTTTGGTGGGATTAGAAAGGACTTGTGTATTGTGAGCTTCGGTCGCGTAATAAAACATTTAATTCTGAAGTACACCGTGAGCAACTAACCAAATTAAATGAAGCCTTGCAGTAGAAACGTTCAGGATTGGTCAACCGAAATAATATTGTCTTTTATCACGACAATACAAGACCTCATACAGCTTTCTTCACAGGGCAAAAATTGGAGTTTGGCTGTGATATATTGCATCATACAGTCCTGATATTGTGCAGTCAGATTAGCATCTCCAGCATTCTCTTCAAAATTCTTTAGTGTAAATTCTTATATAGAAAATTTTTTTAATGCAAAATATAAGAAATTTTATGAGTAGGGATAACAAAATTGGCTATTTTTTATGGAATAAGATATATAACTTAAAAAGTTTTATTTCTTGTAAATTTATTTTAATTCATAGTGAAAAACAGGCAGAAAGTTCTGAACTACGTAATAAAAGTGATGTTATGGCGATTACTTTTGTCTAATATAAACATTAATCCAGTAAATTACAATTGAATTGCTTGTGAACCTATATTCTGTAAAACTTACAAATACTTAAGTATTTATTAAATATTAAGTGACTAGCAGCTAAGACTAAAATGTAAATGTTAGAGTATATGTACACTGTACAGACCTTGACAAACCAGTGACTAATGCAGCTTGTAAAAATTTGAAGCCTATGTCTTTTCTTTGTAATCCTAGCAGATTTCTTAAGACCAATAAGGAACTGAAGCAGCTGAAACACATCTCTTAAAGTCATTTTACACGGTTTTAAGAAACTTCATTTTCTAAATGCAGTAATCATCTACATAATCAAAGGTCCTAATGCAAAAAGTGCAACAAGTAGTCAATTGTTCCGCTTCTTTTGAGCTACCCTAGCAATAGGTTAGTGGGTTTTAAAAGCAAAATTTTACCATCAGCCATTGGTCTAATAAAATAAATTCCATCGTATTTTGAACTACTTCCCGCTTAAGTTCAAATTATTTATGTTTCAGTAAAAAAAGCGAAATATCCATTTGAACAATTAAATTATTCATTAATATATTTCATTTTTAGCCCGCGAACCCACCATACCGAACACTTTGTCTGCTCCTACATCATTAATTTACACTTCGTATCCGTTTATCTCATTAATTTGCTTACGCCTTTGAAAAAATTAAAGCATCTGCACATAATAAAATTTGACTAATGCAAGCAAACTTAAATCCTGAAAGATTCCACAAAAGCTGGGTTTTGATACTACTTCTCATTCAGCTTCGTATTCAACAATTCACTTTTTCGTCAATGACATGACACATTGCGTTGTCGAACGCATAGGCATTCAATTTTTTTAATGTACCAAAAATAAAGTTAATCAATATCACGCGATGGCGCCTGACTTATACAATAACGCACTAGTCTCTTTCGTTGAAAAATGCAAGTATCGTATCAAAAAATGGTTGGAGCAATTTAAGAAACTCTCGGAGAGAGTAAACTTTACATGGCACCAGTAAATTACTATCACTTCGTCTAATTTTGGCTAATTATGTATGTAATAGTCATTATGTGTTTGTAGTAGGAAATAATTTATGAATGACTTTAAATTTTGTCAACAGGATTGAGTCCATCGAGCTTGGTGTTGTCTACTAGCAATAGATTGCCCAATCCTCAAGGAACCTAACAGAAACGTTTATTGATATTGGCGTCGCCTACGTTTGTGATACTAATTTGGTCTTTGCCTACCAAACTTGTAACTTGTAAAAGTAAAAAGTTGGTTATAACAAATGTAAATGATGAGATAGGTCGAACAATAAAAATGTGTGTCATACCGTGGTAAAAGCCATCTGCCTTCAGCAAAGACATATTTAAAATATTTATAAGCCTTCTCCGTGCAGGAGGATATCAGTATATATGGATAAATCAAAGAAAATACCTTGGCATCCGACATTTAAAATAGTAAGTGATCGAATTTCAAATAATTGTCATTTTGGTAAATGACTCAGCCTACATTTGCTCAAATGAAAATAAAGTAGTTGAAGATGTTAACTCATTTTAAAGGAAGTAATTATATGCATACGAAGGATTAATTTTTAAACTTTTTTATTTTACTAATTTTCAATCAAAGCACAGTTTACCTATTATGTTATGAAGTATGTGTACATATCCAGAGGCGACCTTACTATTTAGAGACTTTTTACTTTTCAGTTGGACGCAATTCTAGAATAACGTTTTCTTACGATATATAATCGACGGCAAGAAAACAAAAACTGCTGGAAAAAGAGAATTTGCTGCCAACCAAAGAGACGTGTTATGTTGTGCGCAATGTTATTTTATTTTATTCGGTTGGTTTTTTTTACGTGTGCCTATATATACTTCTATAAATCTACGTACGCAGGCATATGTATTTATATTTTTGTATCCATTTGCTTATATATGTATATGTTTATGTGTGCGCGCTTGCGTGTGTGTGCTCATGTACGCATGTGTGTGTTTGTGTACCCGTGCATGTGCATAGCTATGTATGAACAACATTAAGAACCCGTTTAACTTGTTCAAAAATATTTCTTTTCGCCTTTTTTTATTTGTTTTTATACACACACTCAAATGTATTACGATTTTCTTAGTTAATTTGCTGCAGTGTTCGTTGGTATACTATCGGTAGATAAGTATACATTAAGTCCATGCACACTTCTTGCATTTTCGTAAAAAATTATGAAAAATTTTTTATACACGCTTTCTTCATATTAATTGCAACAAGATCTAAAACTAATCGCGGATCTCTGATTAATTAATTTTCGGTAGTTTCCTTTTTGTATAAAGTCTTTTATATAATGCTCACTGTATATATTATTAATCTTCATTTATTTTTTGTTATATCGAATATATTCTTTTTTTCACCTGCTATTGAAACACTTCACAAATGCCACACTTCTGTAATTATTTGGTATTTTCATTATTTCCATCCTATTAACGACACTTTTCTTAAAAAATTTTCAAATTTTCTTTACTCGCCTTATTCACTTTCTCAATGCGTTTGAACTCTATTCGCTTTTTTTTACTTATTCTTTGAAATATTTTTTATTTGCCTTCCTTTCAATTTCTACTTCGGTGAAGAGAATTTCTTACTAGCCCACTTACCGACCGCTCTTTATAGCATTGTAACGTAAGTACACGAAGAACTGAAGATTGATTTTTCAAATGAGCATACTAAGCCTGGTCAAATGCTTCGAGCTGCTGGTTGCCTGCACACAAAAGTGGTGACAATCGGATTTAATGAATAGCCCCCTCACTCTTTTAAGTAGTGGAAAAGAGTTTACAAAGAAGAAATTCACCTCACATCTTTTTCTGATACTTAAAGATCATGGTCTATTTAGTTTTTTAATTTTACATGTAAATAACCTGTTAGGATCACAATATTATGAGCACAAGAGAGAAAGGGTGAGCAAAAAAAAAAGGGGGAAAAATAGAGAAGACAAACATAGCAGATGTTGCCAACCAATTGGTTTTGGCCAAGAGAAGACTGTTGCATTTCGAGCTTAATTAAATGAATTAATGATTAAAGATTTAAATTCATTTGTAAGACGGTGAGATGGTCGACGATTTCGGATCGATCTTCTTTTTAAGCTGAAGAAGCCTATCACATAAGCAGCCAAATTGGCTATCTATGACTTTCAACGCAGAAGATGCTCTAATAGAAGACAAAAAGGAGAGTTTGAAGAAGAATCTGAAATTATATAACGCTTTAAAAACCTTATTAGTAAAGAAATGGGCATTTTATTTTGAACATATTAATGAAATCTTTTTATAACGCATTAGTTTATGTTCGATGTTACTGTTATTATGTGTACATTTCAATCTTGAAAGCAAAGTTTAACAAGGATCTACTATTTTGCAGACACAAAATCACGGAAGTATTAGAAAGTTCTTCCTTCGGATTGGGAATCTATTGAAACATATAAGAATTAAAATAAGAAGATTTGGGAGTAAATTGTTTCAACTCGCGTAAGTGCCAATGAAGTAATGCTCAAATTGGCCACATCAGCCAGTTAAATGAAAGAGAATTTGAAAAATTGTTGATATTTAACAAAAGAGAAAACGACGCAAAACGCTATATATTAGGCGAAGATCTGCAGCTGCTGTACGATGCCCTATGCAATACACATGTATACCAATCGAAATTTGAAAAAATTTTATGTACGATCTTATTAGTTATTAGACTTGGTGTTGAAAAGCGCATAATAATAAGTTCGATTTACTTATGAAAGTCATAAACATTCGCAGGAAGCCTATGTATCGCAGATGTTGAGCTCGCTAATTTCTGCGCGTTCTCTTTAACTTTTAAACCAGTCAAAACAAAAGTATTTGTAAAGCAAGACTTTATTCACCACACTTATTTCATATGCGTTACACATATAATTAAAGCTCCGCAAAAGATGCTTGCTGATTGTTTACTTTATGCCTTTACTATCTTAGCTTGATACTCCCCTCTCTTAATTGTGTTGTCGATATTTGTTGCTTTGAAAGTGATGAAGATACATACAAGACAAAACAATACAATTGCCATAAAAAAGCCAACTACGCTCCAACAAGCTGTACGCAGTTTTAGTCCAAGCCGCTATATAAAAAAGCAGTGCAATAACATATAGAAACCCCTTCCGTATTTGATCACAACTACTATCTACTATTACTAAAGTAATCCACCAACTGCTCACAAAATGTAGTGCCTTCCAACATATCCTTGCAAGCACGTACACGTACAACTGTACGAAGAGAATGAGAGTAAACTGGTTTTCTGCTGTATTCGGTCTATCCAGTCGTTGTGTTTACAATAAAGTGGAGAATAAAAACGAGAGAGAACGTTACATTCGGTTTGGATAACCACTTGTATAGAGAGAACGAACCTGTTGTGTTCTGATGCAAAATATAATTTTTCCTTCAGCTTTTATGGATATTATCACATATTCAAAAGGTTGGTTGGACATTGAGATGAACTCAGAGGTTTACGATAATCAACCACATGTATATAACTTGTCGGATATGTGTACAAACATTAATATGCTACAAAAAATATGATAAAGTGAACAAATCTCAGTTGCAGTGGATATTGAAACGTGACAAAATCAAGAAATCAGAATCACTTGTTGCTCTATTAGCTTCTGCTTATTTTTAAGTCTATGAATGTCATACATTGATAAAGTGAATGGAATACAGATGGACCCATAAGCCTTCGCAAAATCTTAGTTCAAATTAGCTGTCCTGATACACAGAAGAGTTATTTACTAGCTAAAAGTTTGTACTCTTATACTGGATATCAAAATCGTCAGGTTTTTACAGCAACAGTTTGCGTTGCTCTGTCATTCACCCGTAAATATTCACGCTCATCATCCTGTTAAATGTCTGCCTATTAATTTATTTATTTTCTTTGTAACAAACTTATATAATCGTCCTTTTCTATTGATACATATTGCACATATACGAGATGTTCTTGAAAGTCATGAGATTTTAATTCATCTGACTGATGTGAGCTGGTTGTATAACCGTTTAACCTTTAGTATTTTTACATGAAGACCCTAAATTCTCGATTCCACAATCCCGAATATTACTTCACAATTCAGTACAGTTTTTTGCAAGAACGCTTAATGAAGACGGGATATATTCAGATAATAGGCCTATTTGCATCTTCACGGTGAACTTAAGATGAGAGTGTGCAAAGTTCGCCTTAGTAACGAATTTAGTTCTCTTACTGTTTTGTTTTCTTTCCTGCATGCATCACTCTATGCTCTCACTATCTAATATTCTCGGCAATCTTTTTTTCAGTTTCTGAATTCAATAGTACAATTGCTTTCAGTTGCATAGATGCGCAGAGGAAACCTGTCTTCTTCTAGTGACGCTGTTTTGTGGGTACAACGATTTAATTAAAATTGTTCATGTTTTAAACAATGGTGAATTGAATATAGTGTTTCATAGATTGTTTTATTTTAGTAGTTAAAAAACTTGCCTTTGATGTTTGGAGTGCGTGTACGAGAGGCGTGTTGCCAAGCGCGCAACTATGTTTGAAGAAAATAATCTCGTCTTTTTTTACTTTTATTTGAATTTCTCCTTCTCACGAAAAACATTAAATGAGGTTTGTAGCTACCTTTCACCGATTGGTAGCATGCGCTTAAAAGTCCAAATATTAAATCAACGCAACGAATGTGAATTGTATTAGGCATTACTCTCTGTACGTCTGATGTCCCGCAAACTTGAATTTAAAATAAAAAAAAAAAAAAAAAATGCTAAGCTTGCGCAAATATTGCGCAAATGTATTTAATACCCAAAGGGATTTAACCAGTTTTATTATACTGATCGATTCAGGATTATTTCAGGCTTAGCTGTGTACAACCGATAGGTTAAAATTATTAAGATGTGACGGACTTCGCTACACTGATGAGTCCTGCACTTTTTTGAAACTGGATTGGATCGAAGAAAATTTGCCGGCTACTGTTACTACATTATATTGATCTGATAGAACAATTTTTTCGTCTTGCTTCCGTATAAAAGATCTACGATAAATACACCATTATCTCGGAAAAAGATTTAATTATCTGTGCTTTACGATAAAAATATAAGAGGACTAGGGAGATCTTTGACTAGAAAATTAAATTTTGAGAAATTTGCACTTGATCGGTTGAGTTTTGAGTCTTCTGCCATGCAGCTTAAGAACAATTTGTTATTTATGGATACTGTCCCAATTTGACTACATACATTGGTAGTCATTGGACGGACAATAAATAAATTTCCTTCCAACTTTTCCTTTATTCTTTCTAAGTGTTAACTTGAGGAAGTTTCGACATTTCAAACGGCACAACAATGAGCGAAATCACGCAGGCACGGAGACAAATGTAAGTAACTAAGCACTCCAACTTGAGGCAATTTGCATAGCGGTGTTATCAGAAGTATAATTGCTTTTAATCGAATCACATCTCTCAAAGAGATAACTTCGGTGTTGCAGAGTAGGTTTTTCTTAATATTTAAGCACGGAGTTCCATTTATCTCCTTTTAAAGATAAATAAAAAGATCAACCAAAAGACTGAGGGAATGTGTAATGCTGGCATCTGTTGTATGTTATTGGGTTTGTGACTTATTATCAGCCTTTAGATATTTTTTAACATTTTTTTAAATAATTACTTACACCTTTAAAAATATATATGCAACTGTCAGATGATAAATAGTAACTCGCGCAACATATCGACAAGACCAGCGGTAGAACTATTAAGAATTTGCTGAACTTAAGATACTGCCGACGAGGTCGTAATTAAGAATTGAATTCATATTGCATTGAAATTAAATTGGTATTGACTCGGAATTGAATTCAATTGAAATGAGCCGTAAATGGATGACTCGACGTAGCTACGACACCTCTAAATGTGAGACACAGGTACATTATTTACATAAGCAGCAGCGTTTATTGATTCAACCATATAGAAGTCCTTCGAAAGCTTAACAAAAAACAGCCATAAAGTTGCAATGTAAGTTTAAAAAAGTAATTATTATTATTATTATTATTATAAACTTAGCCAGAGAATAAATTCTAAGACTAAAGTCTTAAAGCACTAGCATCTAAGGCCTTCGGCTTTATTAAAAACTCTACCGCACATGAGATTTGAACCCACGACCATTGAGTTGCTAGTCGAGACTCTTGCCTACTCGGCCACTCAGGCGGCATTAAAAAAGTAAGAATATATATATTCGGCCATAACCGAATCTTTTATACACATCAGCGTTAACTGCCGTGCACGGCTGTGATATTTAATTTATAATTATGACAACTAGTTTGTCGCAAGTCCTTCTATTTTATTTCTACATCGACTGTAAAAATAATCCGCCACGTCGATTACACAAATACACAAACAGACAGGCAGGCGGGCATGCTTAAATCAGTTTAGAATTTGATGCTGATCCAAAATATGTACACTTTACACGGTCTCTGAGCCTGCTTTTGAGTGTTGCAAACATCATGACAAAACGAATATGCCCTCATCCTTCGGCCATGGGTATAAAAATGAATGGCGCAGGTTGTGACACAATGAAGTGTTGTAGCCGTTAAAAGTTAAACGAAGTAAAGAACGAAAGTTTACA